TATTATTATTATTATTATTATTATTATTATTATTATTATTATTATTATTATTATTATTATTATTATTATTATTGTAGTTGTTGTTATTGTATTATTACTACTTATCATTCTTTTTTTTTTTTTTTTTTTTTTTTTATTTTTTTTTCTTTTTTTTTTTTTTTTTTTTAAGTTCGCATTGTTTCTTGTTAGTTTTATTATTTTTGTTATTCTATGTATGTACTAAAACGGAACAATTTTTTTTTGTTTTATTTTATTATTTTATTTTTTTGGTTGACTCATCTGGTCGATTCCTGGTTCCAAAAGTCGGGTTGTCTAGAAGTAGCAGATTTATTGTAGTAGCAGCGACGTTCTGGGTGTCCTGATCTTCTGCACATCAAACAGATGTGGACATGCTTATAGTTGGCTTCTTCAGGGCAGCTTTTCTGGTTCCAGTTGAGGCAAATCTGCCTACCGTCATGCCATGTGATGTCAGATTTGGGACCGCGAGGGGTGAAGGTACCGCGCTGTTTTTTGGTTGTGGTGATGTCGAGGTTTTCACCTTCAGCTTCAATGTCTCTGTCAAATAAGGTAGAGTCGTGGTTGGTTGTGAGGTGGAGTCTGCGATTCTCGTCATAAGCTGCAACGGCCGAAAATTTGTGCTTGACGCATAACATGTTAATGTGGTCCCGGTAAGCGTTTAGCTCTTTTTCCCTATCATCGTAAATAATAAGGATGGCCTCCATGTAGGCCCTAAAAGCCAGGAGCCATTCAGAGATATTGTTAAACCTGTGGGACCTATTGCGTTTTCTGATGGCTATGACACTGCCCTCGGCGGTTTGTAATGTTTGCTTCTCTTTGTTGTACTTCATGTTTGCCTTCAGGGTTTTGTGACTGAACTCGACGAGGTCAACGAAATTACTGACTGCGATAGCCTTCCATAGGCGTGGTGGTAAGTGTAGTTTATTGGGCAGCATCTCTAATACTTTCTGACCATTGGACCAGTTGAGGATCCACCACAGTCTGATTCTCTCAATGTGGGTGGCCTAGGCATTAGTGAAGCCGGAAACTGGGGGAGGTTGGCATTGTTGTATTCAAAGGAAGGGAATTTTCATGCAGTTGCTCTAGTGTGCAATGTGCTGAGTGCTCAGGGGGTGATGGTTGTGTCTGCGCTGGGCTGTGCGATTGGGGAGTTGATGATGAGGTTGTTGAGAAGAGGGGTTAGTGGACAATTACCTTGCTGCATGGCTGTGCTTTGGTCAGTCTGTTTCGTCTGTTGTAGGATTGTGGCAGCGTTAAACTTGTGGTTGTGTCTTGTAGATGATGAAGTTCCTTGTTGGTGGTCGAAAGGTTGTTGTTGGGATGATGTTGTGCTGGATTCGTGTGTATGTTTTGTTGTAGTGGGTTTATCTTGTTGTAGCTCGAAATGTTGTTGCTGGGGTTTGTCTTGTTGAATATGGTTGAAACATATGTCGATGCGTTGGTTTAGTCTATTGATTAATTCGTTTTAGGTCGCTGTATGTTGGTCAAGGTATGATTTGATTGATGCAACGATCGAGTTTGCTGAGGATTGGCATGCAGCATCGATGTAAGCCTTGGTGTTACTGTCGATCTGGGACGGATCGACAAGTGGTGTTGACGTGAGGTCGACTAATTCACTAGTAGGTTGGGAAGTGCTGGTATTTGCTGTATTATCTGTATTCATTATAGGTGACGATAGGAGAAGGTTTGTATTATTATTGTTATTATTGCTTTGGGTTCTATGCAAATAATTAATTTCTCGCTGGAATTTCGGGTGAGAGTTATCATAGCTGATGTTTCGTGTATTTATATGAAAAGGGGTTGGTGGCTTGTTGTATATTTGCTTTATGCGCAGTCCTGTGGCTACCGATCGTTAGTGATGCTGGGCCTTCATATAATTGGTCTGATTTGTTGTATGCGTGATTTTGTGGTTGTCGATCATCAGTGATGCCGGGCATGTATGTGTTTTTCATGCTTGGATGCTTGAAATGGCTCTGATCGTTATGTGCTTAACGGAGCTGGTTCATGTGTACTGATTGGGGTCAGTGCTGTAGTGTGTAGTCATGCCTGGCCTTATTTTTCGATCAGTTGACTCTAGTCAACTAGCACAATCGATTAGTTGCCAACTCAATTGATTTTCGATTCATATCATTAATCACAGGAAAAATCAGCCAATGATAATGAAAGTTCGCTAATTATATTACTATCGCTATGATTGATGTACTAATTCTGATTAAATAAAAAAAATTTTTTTATTAAATGCCAAAAATTTGAAAACATAGTAGCTTGGAACTTTGGTCCTAAGGGTGGAGCAGAAACCCTTTATATAAATACTACTCTAACTTCTTTGAAACTTTCCTTAAATCAGCTTGGTTCTGAGGGTCAGAAGCATTGACTTCTTTAAATCTTTTCAAATCATACCTTTTTTTAAAAATTCTAACGATAGAGCTTATAAAAATATTTAAGATTTTTAAAAAATACGATTTTTGATGAGAAGTGACTACAAAAAAAGATTTATTTCTTTACAAAAAAATATCTTATATAAACCAGAATGATTTTTCGTTTTTGTGTAAATTTTTTTCTTTTTATTGCTTGCATTTGTTTTGTGCTCCTTATTGGTTATGTTACTTTTGGTATCTTTGCTCCTATTTGGGTGTGGTATTGAATATTTATGCTTATGATTAAGTAAGAAATTTTTTCTTTTGTATGTTTAATTTGATGATATTTTAATTTAATATTATTGCATTTTAAGTCGGTGTAAAAGAATTCAATCAGATACTACATCAGTATGTGCTATTTTGATTAATTAATAAGTATAAGATATTTATCATCGTATGATCCAATATTGATGTTATCGTGCAATTATGATCATGATTTTCAAGTCATTTTTGGCTAACTGGGTTTTAATTCGAGATTGTTGTGTTTATGTAATAACGTACAAAAAATAACAAGAAGAAAAAAATCTATAATCATAAGAGTTTGAATGATAACTAAATAATAAGATGATACAATTACCTTAAATATCACAATTTGTGAATTTTTTTGTCATTAGGGAGGTTTGCAAACTTTGCAGGCTGATAAGTTTTTATATGTCGCACGCTTAGCTGTTCCTGACTGTGACCATCAACTCTACGAAAAGATCGCACTTGCAAACCCACCCTTCTATAAAATGAACTTAATTGGAGGACAGCTTGAAGTTATAATGTCTCCTACTCATCAAAGAACTTGTACTGTATGTAATGTTAAAATGTCAATTTGCTGGATTAAAGAAAATATGGTATTCTATACTAAACCATATATAAAAATGTTTAGGTCGAAGAAAAGCCGAAGTTATAAGACAAGTTTGTACCTGGCATGATAACAACGTGAATCTGGTTGGCACTCATGGTGGTTCATCGGTATATATGCAAGCATCACCGTATTATATCTACCATTTCCATGTTATTAATATAATATCTTTTTATTAATTGTAGAGTGCTTTTACATTAGATGATAACATTCTTGGCCCTGATGCCTATGTCGTTCTTATTAATAGGTTTCTGAGAATTTTA